TGTTGGCGTGTTATTTTTAATCCAGCAAATCTCTCTATTGCGCTATCCATCTTTCTTTCTTTCTTTTTCTTTCTTTCTTTCTTTCTTTCTTTCTTTCTTTCTTTCTTTCTTTCTTTCTTTCTTTCTTTCTTTCTTTCTTTCTTTCTTACTTTCTTTCTTTCTTTCTTTCTTTTTTTCTTTTTTTTCTTTCTTTCTTTTTTTTTTTTTTTTTCTTTTTTTTCTTTCTTTCTTTCTTTCTTTCTTTCTTTTCTTTCTTTCTTTCTTTCTTTCTTTTCTTTTTTTTTCTTTCTTTCTTTTTTTTTCTTTCTTTCTTTCTTTTCTTTCTTTCTTTCTTTCTTTCTTTCTTTCTTTCTTTCTTTCTTCTTTCTTTCTTTCTTTCTTTTCTTTCTTTCTTTCTTCTTTCTTTCTTTCTTTCTTTCTTTCTGGTTTTTCTTTCTTTCTTTCTTTCTTTCTTTCTTTTCTTTCTTTTTCTTTCTTTCTTTTCTTTCTTTCTTTCTTTCTTTCTTCTTTCTTTCTTTCTTTCTTTCTTTTTTCTTTTCTTTCTTTCTCTTTCTTTCTTTCTTTCTGTCTGTCTGTCTGTCTGTCTGTCTGTCTGTCTGTCTGTCTGTCTGTCTGTCTGTCTGTCTGTCTGTCTGTCTGTCTGTCTGTCTGTCTGTCTGTCTGTCTTTCTTTCTTTCTTTCTTTCTTTCTTTCTTTCTTTCTTTCTTTCTTTCTTTCTTTCTTTCTTTCTTTCTTTCTTTCTTTCTTTCTTTCTTTCTTTCTCTGCCTTTCACCCTCTTTCTCTCCATCCATCCCTTCTCTCCTCTTCAACCATAGATATTTCAATTACGGCAGTACCGAATATTCGCTTCCTATTCGCTTCGGGCCGAATAGTGGACCTAATAACTATTCGGTATTCGGCCGAATAGTTGCGGTTGGGCCGAATACGAATAGTGGTTACCTTACACCCGTTTCTGGACTGGTGGAAAATAAACATATCAAGATTTCCCACCTTGGTTCATACTGTCAAGAGTTATCTTTGTGCACCACCTACGAGCGCACCAAGTGAACGTCTGTTTAGTACAGCTGGAAATACCTTCATTGAGACAAGAAGTTGCCTTAATGCTGACAACATGGTACGAAGGTTTTGTGTGTGTGTATGTGTGTGAGTGTGTGTGTGTGGAAAGCTAATGCCGCTTTCATGGATTAACTAAGCTGTCAGTGACAATTTAGCAGTTTAGTTACTTGTTATTAAACTAAGAATACTTTCATTCCTAGGTATTAGTTACCACACACTGACTGACTGAAGGATGTACAATTTGAAATGTTTTTAAATGTTTACTATTGTGTACTACATTTTGTGAAGTACAATTTCAGCGTACATTTGACATTATAAAAGTTTTTTTTTTTTTTTTTAGATTTATTTTATAAACGAAAGTGGAAGAATGGGCCTCAGTTTGAATAGTGGGAAGACAGAAATAATGGTGGTATCAAAGAAAATAATTATTCCTAAATGTGTAATAAAAGTCAATGGTTTTATTTTGGGACAAGTACAGAAATTTAAGTATCTGGGCACATTGATAACATCAGATGGATTTTATAAAATTAAGAACATCTTATGCAATACATCTTTGTTATTGAAGGTTAGAAAAACAATTCTTGCTTGCTACATACATCTAGTTTTAACATATGGCTGTGAGTCCTGGACAATCGGTAGGCAGGCCAAACAATTTTTTGAGGCCTCAGAGATGTGGTTTTACAGAACAATGCTTAAAATACCTTGGACGGCAAACAAAATAAAAATAAAAAAGCAACCAACAGGTTTTAAAAGAGGCGGGAGCCCGAAGACAACTACTCACAGACATCAGAAGGAGACAGTCCTAATTTGTCGGCTATGTTAGAAGATAAGGGAAAATATAACATGTTGTGACCACTGGAAAGATATGTGGAAGAAGGGATAAAGGAAGACAACGAGAGAAGATTCTTGACAGTCTTGTTGTATGGTATGGAGGTGTGTCAGCACACGAACTAATACATGCTGCAGGAGATCGCAGATTACGAGGCATAATCGCCCATGCCAGTCGGCAAAGCACCTGATAATGATGATTCACTATTCGTATTCGGCCGAATAGTTGGTCCAGCTATTCGTATTCGGCCGAATAGTGAAAATCACTATTCGGTACAGCCCTAATTTCAATCTCACTCTCCACATGCAATATACGCCCCCCCCCCCCGTCCACTTCTTTCCAAATTCATAGCACCCCTCCCCCCCCCCCTCCCCGTTTTTTTTCCTGTCTGAAAAATCGTTTTCTATCTTTAGTCTAGAAATTCAATCGCCCGTGATTTCTGACATAAAAAGTGTCTCGCGAGCATAAAAAAGTGAACCACCCCTGATTTATACCCATCTCCTCTCTCTCTCTCCATCTCCGTCTGCCTGAGTCTCTTCCACCCCCACCCCCTCCCCAAATCCATGTTCTTCTTCTGAGATCAAACAATTCTTAAACGTCATATGAGAGATGAGAGACGTAAGAAGCCACCCGACAACAGTGTTACCTTGTGCCACAGAGCTCTCTAATGCAAGAATCCGACTCCCCCTCGGTCATGGACTCGGCCGAGCCGTGAGCCCAGGTAGGGGTGGTGAGACTGATGTCCCTGCTGTCGTAGTCTAGCTCGAACAAACCTTCACTGAGAATAGGCCCAATACCTGGAACACAGGAGGGTAGCCAGACAGTTAACTGTCAGCACCACTGGCTTTCCTGATATTATTAACACGACTCATCCAGACTGCAGACGAGTATGACCAGGTGATAACTGCAAGTTAAACCAACGATTAGCAAATCATAAAGATGTGCGGCTGCTGTTGGCTTAACATCCGCGAACATGGATTACGATTCATTGAGATACAAAGTCGACATTTAGAGAGCCTCACCCAAAAAATAATATTAATGATAATAGTCAAAGGAAAATGTATCATGTGATTCTGTGCCACATTGGACAATGTGACCAGACGTTACTAAATTAAAACCCTCTTTTTCTTCTTCATTTACTCCCCTTCTTCTTCTTCTTCTTCTTCTTCTTCTTCTTCTTCTTCTTCTTCTTCTTCTTCTTCTTCTTCTTCTTCTTCTTCTTCTTCTTCTTCTTCTTCTTCTTCTTCTTCTTCTTCTTCTTCTTCTTCTTCTTCTTCTTCTTTCTTCTTCTTATTCTGCTGCTGCTGCTGCTACTCCTTCTCCTCCACTTCTTATCTTTTTTCTTCTTTTCCTGTTCTGCTCAGGTTCTTTCTTCTACTGTCTTTCTCTGCTGGCATCTATATTTTCCTAATAATGGCATTTCTTTGTACTAGCTTTTCCGCAGCTGCGTGTTTATGTACCGTTTTGCTATAAGAACAACTCCACTGGAAGCATGCACAGCAGGGGTCCACCGAACATCAGTAGAAAGATCCCTCGTCGACGATTGTTTCGTCATATTACTTCCTATACAATATTGGAAGGTGGGCCGACCTGGTTCACGAAGCCAGGTCTCGATATTCCCCTGCTGCACTTTATCGTACGTTCGGACTGGAACAAGACGAAATGGTGACTTTGCTACAGGTATTGTGAGATGTGGAAGTTATATAAATGTGTCGCTGGGGTAGCAAATTAGCAGCCTACCTTCACAATCAGAGTGACAGGTTTATGCTGGGATCATCGGACAAACTTTAGACTTTGATAAATGGCAGACACACACTGGCAGACGTTTTGTCAGACACTTTGGCTTAAAAGGGATGTAAAGTTCTTTTCCACTAGGGACCTAGACAAGTCTACTGAGGCCCATCCATAACGACGTTCCATTGCGTCCAAAGCCAGCTCGAAGCTTTTTCCGCTGCTTCGTCTAGCTGTTTTAACCCCCGCTGTGTTAATTTCTCTGCAAGCCCAGTTGCTTTAGTACACTGTATGTGGAAGTGGAGATGAGTCCTGTTGTGCCTACCTCGACGGCAAAGACTTTTACTGTGTACGCGTCATCTCTTCTTAGACCGGCCATCAGCTCACCAAGAGAGGTCATTTTCTTTCCCGTACGGCACAGTCAGATCTATCAGGATAAGCTGACGTTTTTCTGCAGAGTGCAAGACCATGTCTGGTCTCAGGCCAGTCTTTTGGATTTATTCTGGGTACTTTTTCGAAACTAGGCAGGTCGACCACCAGTAACCAGTCCCTCGCACTGTCAAGTATTGATGAAGCATAAGTGACCTTGTTGACTACACCTTTAGAGTTATACCCAGCCTTGAGGAATCGCAAGGGGAGGGGGGGGGGGGGGGGGGGAGGATACGGTAGGACTGGCCCTCGTGTTGGCCCTTATCTTGGCTTGATGCACAATGTCTGCCAACCTTTTCAGGACTTTATTGTGGCCCCATGTATATCGTCCCTGGCCTAGGGATTTTCTGCACGCGGACAATACGTGCTCGACATGGTCTCATGCTCTAGACACCCGGGGACACCCGGGATATCACATTTTTGACCGCTGTGTCGATGTGTCTGTTCTGCATCAGATACTGTGTGAGCCTGCGCGTCATCACTGACAAGACTTTTTTGCCATCAACGTTCATCCGCGAGATGGACTTGAATCAGGGTAAACTGGTGGAGTCTCGTTCCCTGCACTCGGTACAGGTGTACTTTTGACTCCATGCTAACTGTAGCAGGCGGTGGAGCATTGGAGGACTTTCAGACAACATTTGTACAGCTCGTACGAGACACTAATGGGGCAGATTTGTCGCTGGCTCTCTCCACAACTCATTTGACCTCAGACCAAGAGGGAGGCATCGTTTTGAACGGTACCTTCGGAAACTCAGGCCGCTCCTGGCCACTGGTGATCTCTGGATTGTCAACGGGAGATTCACTGCTTGTCCGGTCAGAGTACATCTTCAGTAGTTTCGACTCCAGTTCCTCTTTACCGACATCCAGACTTTGGTAGCTCGAACAGGCCTCGGGCAAACTGGAACGGGTCCATAAAGAACTTCTTGTAATGATGAGGCAAACAGAATTACTTAC